CTGCCCCTGTCTTCTTATTGCATGCACTGCATTATCACTGTTTTCTACCCTCCCTTAAGATTTTTCTCCCTTCTCATAATCCTCTTTCTAGTTTTATCAATCAGAGAGGGAGAGGGGGAGAGAGGGGGGAGAGAGAGAGAGAGAGAGAGAGAGAGAGAGAGAGCCAGGTACAGAAAAACAACAGAGACACCAAGGTGGAGAGAGACAGACAGAAGGACAGAGCAGAGGCCAGCTCAGAACTCAACTGTAGCTCTAGCTGTCCTGGAACTCATTATGTAAACCAGGCTGGCCTCAAACTCACAGAGATATGCCTGCCTCTGCCTCCTGAGTGCTGAGATTAAAAGTGTGTGCCACCAAGCCCGGCCTAATTTATATTCTTTATAATAATAAAACTGTAGCGGTAAGTAGCACTTCCCTGAATTCAATGAGTTGTTCCAGTGAAATATTGAGTCTGAGACTCCTGAGATTTGCAGCTATCTGTCAAAAGTCCAATGTCTTTGTAACTCCAAGATTATAATTTATGTCTGAAGTGAGGGCAAACTTATGGGAAAATAACACTGTAAAATTTTACCTAACTTTCAGTGGTTACCATCAGAATTTATTATGTATTATTGGTAATTAATTTAAAATATGAGTGACTACAACTATCTAGTTAAAAGATATTAGCAGAAAGTGCTAAAATCTTCTAATTATACCTTATCAACAAGATTCATATTAGATCCAAATATACATATAAATTAAGAATGAAAGGACAGTAAAAGATATTTACTGTAAACAGTGGCCCAAAGAGAGTAGGAGATGTCTAAACTCCTATCAGACAAAATTAGCTTTACATCAAATTTGTCCTAGAAGACAAAGGGCTATTATACATCAATGAGTCAGTTCACCAGGAAGCTACACTAATTACATACATACATGCATCGAACAGAGAACAGAAATGTGAAGTAAACATGTACACAATTGAAAGAAGAAACACAGAGTTCCACAAAAACAGGTGGGGACCATTACCCCACGTTCAGTAATGGACTTACTAGGACAACTATAATTTGAAAACAACTGTAACAACAAAGGAAGTGTTGGTGAGGATGTGGAGAATTCCCATGTTTTGCTTTGCTTCTAGGATGCCAACTCACAATACCTATGGAAGTTTGATGGTTCCTCAAATTTTAGATTCAAAGTATTATATGACCTAGCAAGTACATTCCTGGGTGTTATGTTCTTCCATGTTGAAAACAGATATTCAAACAAAAATTTGTACATAAATGTTCACAGATGCGTTATTTGCAATATTCAAAAGATAAAAAGAACAAATATTCTGACAAATGCAAAAATAAAACTTTGTACAAAACTGTAAGATACTGTAAGTACACTATGTGAAATAAGCCAGATTCCAAAGAGCACAGGCTATACAATCCCATTATGTATACTAGAGAAAAGTGTGGTGAGACAAGAAGCCAGTAAGTAGAGCCACAGAAAGGGTGGGGAGTACCTGCTGAATGGGTGCTGGTTTTCTTTAGTGATAATGAAAATCTTCTAGAATTTGATAATGGTGATGGATGTACATTTTAAATATATGAAATGCCTCTGAATTTTGTAATTATATAAATGATTAGAATGATTTTTTTCAGTGCTAGGGAATGAACCCAAGCCTTGTGCATGCTAGACTAGTGCTCTATCACTGAGCTATGCTCCAGACCTTGTTTAACTTTTACCTTGAGACAGAATTACAGAATTATTAAATTGTCCTGGCAGGCCTTGAACTTGTGATCCTCCTGCCTCAGTATCACAAGTGGTCAGGAGTATAGGCATGTGCCATCAACCTCAGCAAAACAATACATTTTACTATGAGAACCTTAGACACAATTTAAAGACCGGAATCAAAGACACATTTCTTTGATTCTGATTATTAATTCATGACCAAACATAAACAAAAATGCATAGAAAACCAGGCGATGTATGTTACGTACCAGTTAATGCTGCTGGTTTGGACAGTGTACTATACTGGTTTTGCGTAGATATCATACTCTGACGTGGACTAAGTGCTGGTGATGCAACCAGTGAAAGCTCCTCAATAATAATACTGCTTTTGGGGTGATTCTTGGGAAGTTCATTTAACCTTTGTTCTAATGAGTATTTTAAAAGGTCCAACTTCTGACTTGATTCGTTAAATCTTGCTTGAGCCTTATAAGGAAAAAAAGATGTTGCTGTCATTTATACAGTGGCATTGTTTGAATAAAATATTAAACAAAGTTTTATTTAAAATTACTTCTGAAAGTGCTTTTCTGTCTGTTACTTTTCCTGAGCCAAGTAATTTCATTACATTCTTTGCACCTTCTGCTACTGCAAACTCTATCCTGAAATGATGCCTTAATTCTTCCATTCGAAGTTCAAGAGGACTTATCACAGGTTTTGCTAGGAAAAAAAAAAAAAAAAAAAAAGAACAAAATTTATTTGCTGATTGATCCATTTCATTTTCTAACATCTACAGATTAAAAGCCCTAAAAAAAGAAATGAATTACTATGACATTAGGCTATTTCTTCAAATCAATAAACAGCAATAAGAGATACAAGGATGAAATTCAGAACTCTCTGTTTTGGCCATTATACATCTAAATTACAGATGTGTAAGCAGGTTTTGGATCTGAATATATGGGTCTGTTACAAATTCATGACCTGGAAACACAGTTGGTCCTTCATATCTACAAGTTTCATGTTAGGGATTCAACTACCCCTGGACCAAAAATATGTTTTGGGAAAAGGAAGTGCATCTGTACTACAGAGTTCTTGTCAATATTTCCTAAATAACACAACTATTTATATCATACTAAGTATGATAAATAATCTATAAAGATAAAGTATTTGAGAGGGTGTGTAAACATTCCATGCAGATACTAGACCATTTTCCACATAAGACTAGAGCATCTATGGATTTTGGAATATACTAGGGTCCTGAAACTGTTTGCTAGGTACAATTGTACTGAAGGACAATTGTAGTTTCTGGGCCTACTTTTGGCAACAACCTGTATAGATTCCTTTTGGAACTAAGTAACAAAACAAAAGACAAAAAGACAAAGCAAAGGCACACCATTAAACAATTAACAAGTTTCTTAAAGCATTAGTGAGAAATATCTGATACCTTATTGAAATGTAGAAGTACATGCAAGAGAGTTAACTTTTGAAACACAGAGCGCAAACATCTGAAAACAACAATCCCACATAAAACTCAAGATAAAATAAATAGAACACAACAAAACAACTCAAATCAAAAACTTTTCCTCTTCCAACTCCACTGCCTCTTTCCTACATAAAATTTTGTTAGTACCCTATGTTTGTAAAAGACATTGAAAATTTATTTTTTTCCATCACCATTATCAAAAGCCAGTTCATTGGTCTGGACTGCCTGAAGAATCTGCATTCGGATGACTTCTATTTTTGTCTTGCTATCCTGGAGCAGTTGCTGAGCTGTACCATGGAGTTTTCGATCCTAAAAGTTAGAAAAAGTAAGCAGATAAAAGGACAAAATCTTTTTTATCTTCTGAAAAGATCAACTGATATACCAGCAATTGAAAGAGTTAAAAAAAAAAATCTGTGAACACTCTTTATTATATAATCCTAAAGATACCATTACACTCACAAGCACAAAGAGTTATTAAAAAAATTTAAGGGGATAACTGAGAACAGCTCTAACTGACTGGATGATTGATTACACTGTGGGAATAGATCAAACCTAGGGTCTCACCTATGCTAGTTAAGTGCTTTATCACTCAGCCATACCATCAGCTATATATTTGAGATGTACAAATTATTTTGGTATACACAAATATACCAAAATGATTGCAACAGGCAAACTGACATATCCCAGACCTCCTATTTAGCCTTTTTTTGTGTACATGTTTCTTAAGGGAACTTACAATCTACATCTTTAGCACACTGTTTTGATGTACAGCATTATTATTATTTTTGTGGTACTGAGCCTTACACATGGTAGGTAAGTACTTTGGCACTGAGACAAACCTCCAGTCCCTCAGTATATAGCAGTAACTATAGTCTAGAGTCCTCAAGCTCTCCTTGAGATCTCTAGAATTATTTATCCTCCCTTTATGCAAATTTGTACCCTGTGGTCTAGTTCTCCTCTCACCTTGCCCAGGTCATCACAGAGCTAGTGTTTCTATTTACCCAACTTTATTTTTCTAAGAGTCCATGTACAAAGGAGAGCGTACAGTATTTTTCTTTCTTTGTCTGGTTTATTTCATTTAGCATGATGTCTTCTGGGCTTAGCCATATCAATACAATTATAAGAACATCATTTCTAAAAATCAGACATCATTAGTGTGTGTGTGTGTGTGTGTGTGTGTGTGTGTGTGTGTGTGTGTAAGTTCAAGGACACACATGCCATATCACATATGTGGTAGTCAGAGGACAAAGTTGGTTCTCTCCACGACGGGACCTCAAGCTAGAACTCAAATCATTAGGTCTGCATGGCAACCTACCCACTGAGCCATCTGGACTGCCCCCAAAATCATCTTTTTAAAGGTGGCATAGTATTTCATTGTATATGGCATGTATAATCACGCAACTTATCCATTCATCTGTAAATCTTTAAAATATTTTATTTATTATTTTTTTAAATGTGTATTTGTGTATTGCCTGCATATAGGTAAGTGAACCTGTGTCGTTCAATGCCCACAAAGGACAGAAGAGACTGTCAGATCCCCTGGGACTGGAGTTAACGGTCCGTTGTTACCTGCCATGTGGGTGCTGGGATTTGAACCTGGGTCTTCTGTAAGAACAACCAGTGTTCTTAACCGCTGAGCCATCTCTCCAGCCGTTATTTATTATTTTTATTTTATGTGTATGAGTGTATTGCCTGCATGTGTGTAAGTGCACCTGTGTCACGCAATGCCTGCAGAGGTCAGAAGAAGGCATCAGATCCTCTGGAACTGGAGCTACAGATGGTTGTTAACCACCATGTGGGTTCTTGGAACTGAACCCAGGTCCTCTGCAAGAGCAATCAGTGCTCTTAACTGCTGAGCAATCTCTCTATCCCCTGTAAATGGATATTCTTATGTTGTTTGAATCTATTGTTTTTAAGTTAGAAATTCAAATTTGCAATTTTCTCCTGTCTTTGCACAAAATAGAATTTTCCTTTAGCATAATCAATAACTCTCAAACTCAGAAACATAGGATCTGATGTTTACCTAAGTGATTACCTAAGTGATTAAACCTAAAAATTAATAGTTTTTTGCTGTCCTATTAAATTTCAGTTAAAGGGCAGGAGAGATCACTCAGCAGTTAAGAGCGTGTGCTGCTCATACAGAGAACCAGAGTTCAATTCCCAGTACCCACGCTGGGCTGTTCACAATCGCCTCCAACTCCAGCTCCAGGGGATACAATGGGCTTCTCTGATCTCTGTAGGCACCTGCAGTCATATTTACGTACGCACGCACGCACGCACGCACGCACGCACACACACACGAGAAACATCTCTAGAAAATCTTGATGGTCATAAATAGAGAAGCTCATAAACCTAGGGAGGAGTTAAACTTCTGTCACCTCTTGAAATTTCAAGAGTCTGAACTAAGTGAAATGTTACTTGCTGTGTTTCTGGTTAGTTTTAGAAACACTTAACATATATATGACAAGGAATTAAAGTACTAAATAAATAATGGTTCAACCAAAGATGTCCATATTCCAATCCCAGAATCTTATTAATAAGTCACTTAGTTGGTAAAGGGATTTGCATAGTAGATAAAATTAGGATTGTTAATCACCTGATCTTAGAATATAAAGATTATCCAAGTAAACTCAACTTGATCTTCCAGAAGGGCCCTCAAACGGGGACTTGGAAGAGAGAACAGGTTAGCTTGATGTGATGAAAACTGGACCCACTGTTGGTGGTTTGAAGAAAGAAGAGGGTGGTGAACCAAGAAGGTGTACAGTCTCCAAAAGCTAGAAAGAACAGATTCTCCCCTGCACCTTCCAAAAGGGAACATACAAGTGTGGGGGCACACAAAGGCAAGCAGGTCTGTAAGTTCAAGGCTACCCTGGTTTACATAGCGAGTTTCAGGTCAGCCAGATTTACATAGTGAGATGATGTCTCAAAAGGTAAGAGAACACAGATACTCAGTGAGCTCTACTTCTGACAAAATAATTATAAAATTAGCACAAGAATTTATGTCGTTTAAATCACTAAGTTTGTGATAACTTGTTACCTAAACCAAACATTGAAAACTAATAAAGGAAATTACAAAAAGTATCAGAAATTAATGGCATTTGCTACTATGGGAATTGTGTTTTATCAAAGACTAGTTTTCTGGTATCCACAAAACAAAGAACAGCTGACTGAGCATAAAGATAATAAGTACTTATTTACAAGGAAAGCTAATTTTTATATATTATTAATGTAAACATCTCTACGGTAGCCACTAAGACAATCAGTATCAGTTTAGAAAGAAAACACAATAAGCTCTATTCTCCATGAGACATAACCAGAACCCAAGAGGTAAGCATCAATCAGCACCAATTTCAATAAATCATGTAGTATGTAATACTGTATAAAGGGAATATAATACTTCATAAAGGGGTATGGGTTGTGAAAAGGTAATTTTGCTTATACAAAGAGAAGTGAGCTGTAATATATTGTTTGATATACTTAATTAATATACCATAAAGGAAAAATAATTAGCAAATCTGTAAATTTTTCCCTCACATTTTCCCATTCCCAAGATAGTCATTTTTAGGAGCTTCTAGCCAGCTTTTACTCTTTAATAAAGTATCTAGATTCCATGCCAAGGAGTTAGGCTCATACAGTTTACTAAGTCATTTTGATATCAAGGCACAGGTAAAGCGCTCTCTCTCTCTCTCTCTCTCTCTCTCTCTCTCTCTCTCTCTCTCTCTCTCGCCCTGCCCCACCCCACCCCACCCCCATTATGCATTGCCAATGAGGAAATGCACCTGAATCTGGTGATTGTCTGTGACACACCATCTATGCTTTTATGAATGCAGCTCTTTAGTTTCTAAATTTAAAAGAAAAGCATTTCCCCTTATTCTTCCACTCTTCTTGTGTTAGGAAAACTGGATAAACCAAAGATTTGAAATGAGCATACACTTGAGATCAGACCACAGTAAGAAACTTGTGTTCTGAAATTCATAATTTAATCATACAGGAGTCCAGATTGTCTCAGATGTAAAAGCTGCTATCTTCCGAAAGCCTTAGGTTTCTTTCAGAAACTGTAAAAGGATATACTGCTATTACCGTTCTCTGGAAACAAAGCTTTTGTATTAGATGAGTTTTAGGCTGACATCATACTCATTATGTAGTTGAAGATGACCTTAAACTTCGAGTCTTGTCGCCAACTTTTTGGATTTATGCAGTGCTGGGCATCAAAACCATGGCTTCGTGCATCCTAGGCAAGCACTTTTCCAGCTGAACCACATCAACTAAATCCCCAACCCAGAAGTAATTTCCTAAACTATTTCAATCCAACATGCAAAGAAAAACACATGTATTTCATTTTTAAATTGAATGAACTTCCATATACAGATTTTCTGGAGGATGTATACAAACATTACAGTGTGACAGAGGCTTTTAAAACTGACTATAGGGGTTGGGGATTTAGCTCAGTGGTAGAGTGCTTGCCTAGCAAGTGCTTGCCTGGCAGTGCATAGTTACTATATACCAGTTTTATGTTTTTCAGTATTTGATAAATTTTTGTCAGTTTTACACTTTCAGGCATTCAACAAATTTTAAAAAATATTTTTATTTTATGTGTATGAGCGTTTTGATGCACCCATGTCATCCAGTGCTCACAGAGGCCAGAAGAGGGCATTGGATCCTCTGGAACTGGAGTTAAGGATGGTTGTTAACTACCATGTGGGTGCTGAGATACAAACTCTGGTCCTCTGCGAGAGCAGTGAGTGCTCCTAACCACTGAGCCATCTTTCCAGCCCTCAGTGGATCTTTTAAAATTGAGCACCTATATTATGTAGAAGGTAGTTGACAAGGTAGACCAAAGGTGTATGTTTACACATTTAAAACCTGCTGATTTTTATGCTGATAAAGCCTTTGGGAAGATTTTTGTATTTATTAGTCAATTGAAAATGCCAATATTTTAATATAAAGTAAAGAAGAACAATTTTGGGACTGAAGAAATGGCTCAGAGGTTAAGAGCACTGATTGCTCTTGCAGAGGATCCAGGTTTGATTCCTAGCACTCATATGGTGGCTAACAACTGTCCATAACTCCAGTTCCAGGGGATCTGATGTCTTCGTCTGACCTCTTGAGGGCACTGAATGACCTGGTGCACTTGTACACATACAGCCAATATACTCATACACATAAAATAAAAATAATAAATAAAATATTAAAAAAAAGAATTTCGGGGTTGGAGAGCTGGCTCAGCAGTTAAGAGCACTGACTGCTCTTGCAGAGGACCCGGGTTCAATTCCCAGCACCCACATAGTGGCTACAAACCGTCCTTAACT